TGGATTGAATGTAGTTGTATTTTGAAAATCTACTAGGGTATATGTAATTTATTTTTTCAAAAATTGAATAAAATAAGATTGGTAATATGTTTTTATCGATTTTGAAGATGAAAATAAGAACATGATAGAGGTTTAGTTTATATACAGTTAGGATATTGAGTTCATTAAATAGTGTTTGTGTGTGTGAGAAACGATCTACATTTGAAACTACCCAGCAAACATTTAGACTAAAAAAGACGTCTTTTAGATGTATAAAAAACGTCTAACACGTATAAAAGACATATTTAAGACGTCTTTTTTAGTCTAAATGTTTGCTGGGTATCCTTATAGCCTGTTTTTGTTGGCTAAGCAATTTTTTTTATTTTCGTCGCGTTAGTGCTACACCAAGCAATGTTTGCATAACTTAAGTAACAATGAATAAAAAAAATTTTTTATTTTAAACTACACCTATATGTTCTCTTCAGGTTACATTTTCGCCTAGAAACACGCGTAAAAACTTTATTGATTGCTCTCTCGTTATTAATTGATTATTAATAAAAAGGTGCGGAAGTTCTAAGGGAATATCAGATTTATTATGTAGGCGATGGAATAAAGTGTCTTTATTTTATTAATATTTAAAGATAACTTGTTTGATTTAAACCATTGGGTTAGTTTATCTAGTTCTTTATTTACTGTTAAATAATATATTGATATCTTTATTGGAATAAAACAAGCTGGTATCATCTGAAAATAAAATTGTATTTAAAATGTTAGAAAATTTATTTAAATCGTTTATATAAACGAGAAATAGAAGTGGTCCTAAAATTGATCCTCGAGGAACACCACATTTAATTGTCTCATAATTAGTTCTTCTTTTATCATATACTATATACTGCTTCCTATTAGTCAAATAACTCTCGAACCAGGACATTTGTTTATTTGTTTATTGTTGGAAAGTTATTTTCTGAAAGAGTATTAATATAATTCTTACCATTATTATTAGAAGCATAGTTGATTAGGATGAAGTTAAAATCCCCGACCAAATAAATATGTTTTCTGGAATTTTTAATTTTATTTAAAAATGTTTTAAGATGAGTTTTAAACTTTTTCATGTTACCAGATGGTGGTCTATAAATACTATTTATAATTTATTTTTCCTCAATTAAATCATCTCTATTTATTAGTGAAGTTGTTACATTAAATATTGACTTAATAATTGTATGAGAAACATGGTTTCAATTTAATACATATTTAGATTTACCTGGGTGCACAATATATAGAAGAGACCGAATCGACGGTAGAAGAGGGGGTGGTGTTTGTATTTTTATTAAAAGAACTATTGAATCTTCTGAAATTTCTAATGTCATATTTAATAAAACATCTATTGAGCATATTTGGTGCAAAATAAAATTAACAGATGAAACAATATTACTAGGTTGCATATATAGACCACGAAATGCAACAGCAGAACTAAATAACCAGCTAAATGATGCAATTTATGAAGCAAAAAAAGTTAGTGAGTTGAAAAGAAGTAGATTGTCTTCTAATTAATGGAGACTTTAAATTTCCTAAAATAAAATGGAACAAATATCCCAGTTAACCAACCCAGCTGGGTCCCAGCTGGGATCGACTGGGAATGAGCTAGGATTACTGGGATTGGGTTCGGGCTGGGATTTGTTCTGGGTGCCAGATGGGTCCCATATGGTGTAAAAATATTGCTTCAAATAAAGTCTGGTTTTTTACTGGGATTATCGTGGGGCTTCCTTTAATGGTTTACGGCTGGTTTGAAGACGGGACGCGTAGTTTAATGGTAACGTGTATTTCTAATCAAAGCAGTTTTTTTGGCATCGTTTTTATTAAGAAGTTTTGTCGAAATAAAATTACAAAACTACAATGTTAATTCTTTTCTTTGATAGTTTATATGGTTTAGTGTGCTTACAGTTATGGCTTAGTGTGTTTAATCTTAATGTTTTTTTTCAAACAAATCTCATAGACTTTTTGAAAAACCTTTGAATTTGCTATGTTTTGTAAAATAACTTTGACAAATTTTATTTACAAAACATAGTAAAGTTTTACTATGTAGCACTGCCGTACGTAAACTTTACATATTATTTATTTTCACATAAATCATTTAATAAATGGTTTATTTATTTATAAATAATATGCAAGTTTTACATACTTATGAAAAAAATTAAAATCATACATTTATTAAATGTAAGATTTTACTTATTTTATAAGTAATATAGTTAATATATTTCTCATAGTATAAGTAATATATTATCAAATATATAACTTATAGAAAATGTGAAATCTTACATTTATATTATTCATTTATAAATGATATCTAAAGTTTATGTATAGCAGTGTCACTTTGTCAAACCTTACTTATTTTAATTTGTAGTATAAGGTTTTATATGAAAAAATATTTAAATAATTTATATTGTGAATTACTTGTAAATAATAGTAATTAATAATAAAAATGATAAAACTGCCCAGTTAACCAAAACAAGTGGATCCCAGCTGGAATGTAACTAGATTATTGAAACTGAGTTATGGCTGAGATTTGAACTGGGTAAAAGATGGGTCCCATATGGTGCAACGATTGCGGCAAAAATTATGCTTGAAAATATGATAAAATCTTTTAAAATGACAGAAAACGCAGATTGATTTGGGTTGTGTTTACACTTGCATTTAAAGTGAACAGGAACTTAATTTGGTTCTTTTTTAGTATTTTTGTAAAAAATAATTAATAACCAGTTTAAATTTATAATAAAAGTATAAATATTTTTATAGCAATATTTAGATATTCATTTAACAAACCATTTTACAAAAAAAAAAAAAAAAAAAAAAAAAAAAACCGGCATACTCTTAATATACTTCTTAAATGGTAATTAACATACTTCTTAAATGCTCTAAATTTCATAACCATTAATAAGTTTAAGAGTATGTCAATGTTTACTTTTTTACAGACTTGTAAAATGTTTTATCAAACTGAAGACATCTTTTTATTTTTTTAAGCAATAGACAAATGTTGAAAATTTTTCAAATTAGTTTTTATGGTTTGGTGTACTAATAGTTATTGCTTAGTCACTAAGTTACAAATATGAAGTATCTAATTATCTAAACTTTACATATTATTTATAAATATATACACATACATAAATGTTTTACATTTTCTATAATTTATATAATTAATAATATTATACTTATATTATAAATACTGTAACTGATATTATAAGTTATAATATCAGGTTTTGTATGAAAAAAATGTTTAAATTATTTATATTGTGAATTATTTGTACATAATAGTAAGCAATTACAAAAATTATTAGATGTTTTAACGTTTAGTTTTATTAATCTGAAGTAATAAGCAAATCGTCACATTTTGTTTGAATATATTTATGTATTAAATATATTTTTTAATTCTTTAAAATATAAATATTTATATATATTTTGATAGCAATATTCAGACATTTGTTTAAGAAACAATTTGGCGAGTCTAAAAGAGGGAAATGTTGAGTTTTAAGGTTTTAAGATGTTTTTTAATTATCACAGGATATTATATAATTTTTTTAAAATATGTTCTAAAATAAATTAAATATACAATCATAAAATGCTACTCAACTTCAATATAAAAATGAAAATGTAGTTTTGATACTAAATATTGCAAAAACTGAATCTTTCAATAATCATGAGTGTTTTGTTTTTTTCACATGCTATAGTAAGTTAATTTCATTGTGTTATTATATGATATCATATAGTCATATATAATATGTTTATTTACAAAGTTATAAAAAAGATATCAAATTTTTTTGGTAATAAATTTTTTTATCTATGTTATTTTTGTATACAACTTAATTAAATTTTAAATTTTGATAAAACTTTATTAAATTTATTAAAGAAGTTCAATAGTATCTATGTTTTGTTTTTAGAGTTTGTGTTGATTTATGATTAACAACAGAAAATGCATTCTTTAAAAAATGTTAGTTTTTTACACATTAGTTATATAATCTCCTATGAAATGGTTCATCTAAATCTAGTAAGTTAACACTTGATATGACAACATTATTTTGAATATTTTTTTTTCATAAAATTCAGGAAAGTTTTACTTTCCCTGAGTTTTAATATCTCAAACTATTAGTTTACAGAGTTTGATAAAATAAATAAACAGGGTTGCCACTCAACCTGGAAAACCTGGAAATAGCATGAATCATAGGGAAAACCTGGAATACTCAGGGATTTTCTAAAATTTTTATAAAGTTCAGGGAAAACTCAGGGAAAATTTTTTTTTTTTTTTAATTTTGTGCAATAATTTTTTTTTTCAAAAATATTTTGCTAATACATATAATAATAAGTTTGCTAGTTGTGGGTGTTGTTGTAAAAGTTAGTTTGTCAAATGTAAAGATTGTGTTTAATTAAGGAAAATAATAATCTTGTTGATGAAAAGTAAAAATAAAGAAAAGTAAAAATATAGAAAAGTCAAGGAAAACTCAGGGAACTTAAAGAGTTCAACTCAGGGAAAAAACGTTTTTAACTCAGGGAATACTCAGGGAAAAACTTTAAAAATTGTAGTGGCAACCCTGATAAAATAATTTTTGTATATTAAAAATATATAGAATTTGCAAAATATATAGATTTTTCCTAATATTGACCTGGGCTTCTGTGAATGGATAAGTTCTGTGAATAGAAGATTAAGAAAAATAGGGTGTTAAATTTTTTAGAATCTACTGCGAAATAAGTTTAATATATAATCACAAAATGTAGCTCTAAGACAATATTCAATGTAAATTCTGCTCCACGATAATTGAAATACATTATGTTAGACTAATCATGAATATAACAATTATATATAATAATATAAGTACTCTACCCTTGTTTATAATTGTAAATTTTCATTGTGAAAATGATTTTATTACACAATTTATTTTGGTCAAAATTACAATTGTTTTCAATTTTTTTCAATATGTTTAAATTGTAACAAATAATTATTTTTAAGTAATAATATAACCTAAAATGATTATTGTTTAATTAGGTGCAATCAAAATGTTAGTGATATTGATTATTTTTGCATTTATTAAATTATATAAAAGATATTAAACCCTCACTAACTGATTTAATGGTTTGATGTCGAGACAATTTTAAATGGTAACATAGTATTCATGTTATATTATTGTTGTTTAGTCTATTTATGTCATGCCTAATTATTAACATCAATTATTTACTATGAAATAACATTGTTTTAGATTCCCTGCAGGATGCCTGTTAAAAAAAAAAACTGAAGAAATTTTTAAAACTAGATGATGATAACTAAAGAAATTAAAACACCGTTATTCATGGTGTCATATCGAGGCTTCAGTTCTCCAGTATTTATTTTTATATTTTATTATATATGTTATGTTTATTTTATTTTTTATTTTTGTTATTTTTTTAACAACAAACTATGTGAATAATTAATTGTCCTGCCCTGGGCCTCTACTTCAATCTGGCTATTATTATAACACGCATATAGACTTATATATTGAATTGAGTTAGCTTGTGATTTATACGTTTGTTTTTGTTTGCCTAGTGTTTGTTAGTTATATGCAAGATATGGCATGGTATGGCACACTGCATGGTATGCCCTAAATAATATTATCAATAAATATTTTTATCTATACTTTGTAAATATATATGCTATAATTTATTATATTGTTCAAATGTTTATTTTTAATTTATAAAACTAGTGTAAAAGTGGATGAAAGCACTAAAGAAAGCGATAACGATAAACTTTAATGCAGAATTTTGTCATGCGATTATGGTGGCGATATGAGAGAACTACTGTGGCAGAATATTACTATCGTAGAACAGTTTTGCATCAAATCATTGTATAATATTAGTTTTTTGTTGCTTAAAAATGTTGTGAAATTCAAATCTGTTTTTTCAATTGATTCGTAAAATAATATTAGTTTTTTGTTGCTTAAAAATGTTATGAAATTCAAATCTGTTTTTTCAATTGATTCGTAAAATTCAGACTAAATATTCATTTGCCTAATACATTTTATTGCTCTAACAGCGAATTCAATATAGATAATATAAATAACCTTTACTTTTTAATTTTATTTTAAAAAATGCGACGCTTTTTAATCAAAAAATTGTCACTTTATTTCGCAGAATCGAGATAACAAAATCTGCGAAAAAACAAACTATAAAAAGTTGAGAAAACCCGCGGTAAATGAAAAAAATATCTGGGTTCAATATGGGATTTCCCGTCAAAAACCCAGACTTATCCCAGATGGGACCCAGTTGGATCCCACTGACAGAATCGCAATGAGACCGATGTGAGATACCCAGATGGGTCCCAGCGTTTTCCCCAATTGGGTCCCAGTTGAAATGGTTAACTGGGATGGTTTTAGTGAATATTTGTCGGAAAATACATATGAAAACAGTTTTGTTACAACGCTAAATAATTGTTTTCTTTTTTAAATGGTTTTTAAATCAACTTTTCAAATAAACGAGATTAAAGAAAATATTTTAGACTTAAAAACAATAGAATTCTTGAAATAAAACATGAGCCTTATTAGGCAATTCAAATAAAGACCATGATATATTAACAAATGAATTTTTAGTAAATAATACTATCCATCTAAATGTTGCTAATAGAAAAAATTTTATACAAAAAATCAAATTTGGCAAAAATGTCACGGTTTTATAATGTAGTTAATTGTCAGACATTATTTCTAAATAAAAATTCTAATAAATGTTATAATCTGTTTGTAAAAATCTATAATGAGTCAGTTTCAAAACTTGTGCCATCAATAAATGTTCAGTCAAGTATTGGTCCATTATGGTTAACTAAAGAATTAAAGAACTCAAGCTCAACTCAAGCTTTCAACAAGAACGGACGCACTTTTTACCTCGTGGCAAAAAAAAAAAAAAAAAAAAAAAAAAAAAAACTTTTTATTTATTATAAATAAAGACGTATCTTTAATAAAAATTTTAACTTAATAATATGGCTGTAACACTTCCAGAAATAAAGAAACTTTTAAAAGAAATGTTCAAAGAATTTAAAAAGGAAACGGAAGAAATGTTTCAAAAGCAAGAAAAAGTAGTTCTCGATATTATTGGGGCTAACATCAAAATAATAAACGATAGATTTGAAAAAGTAGAGAAAAATGTTGATGGAAATGCAAATTGTATAAAGAAATTAACAAAAGAATTAGAAGATATAAAGGTAAGCCTTAATTTTAATGAAGGACTTATTGACGAAAAAATAGTTACTAACAACAAATATCTAGATAAAAAAATGGAACATACAAAAATAGATAATGTATTAAAAGAAAAACAACGAAACTTAGAAGATCGATCGCGCCGAAACAATCTTAGGATTGAAGGAATTTACGAGAATGATAAAGAATCATGGGGGGATACAGAAAAAAAAGTCCAAACATTCTTCACCGAAAAACTTGGACTAAAAGATGTTGAAATTGAAAGAGCTCACCGCACTGGACGAAAAAACGATGGACGACCAAGGACTATAATATTAAATCTTCAGAAATATAAAGACAAAATAAGAATATTGAAGGAATTGTATCGACTCAAAGGCACAAATACGTTCGTGAACGAAGATTTTTCTCGAGAAACCGTCGCTATTCGAAAAAAATTGTTCGCTGAAGTGAAAGAAAGGCGATTGAATGGTGAAAGTGTTACGGTAAGGTATGACAAAATTGTTTATATTAAAACTTCTTTTAAAAACAATTTTAACGAATAATTTTATGGGCATTCCTAAAAAGAAATCTTAAATAAAATATATTAATCATGGCTACAAATGAAAACTTTGAATCTCGTGTTTTTAAAATTCAAAAAACAAATTATTCTACGTTAAATGAAAATTTAGACTCTGATTACAATATTTATCACAATAAATTTTCAGATTGTTCATATTACTTTCCTAGCCAACTAGAAGGGTTTCTTTTTAAGTATGAGAATGAAAGAAATAATAATCAAATGTTAATTCTCCACCTCAACATAAGAAGCTTAAATAGCAATTTTGAAAAACTTTTAGACTTATTAGAAGAAACTAAACATGTTTTTAATATAATTTGTTTAACAGAAACTTGGATTTCTTTAGAAGACCTAAATAATTTTCATCTACCTCATTTTAATACATTTTTAATGGAAAGGAAAACAAATAAGCGCGGTGGTGGAGTTTTAATTTATGTTCACGAAAATTTTGAGCATTGTTTTAGGCATGATTTAAGCGTTTCTGACTACGATAAAGAAATTGCAACTATAGAAATTACTAACTGCAACAAAAAAAGAATTTTTTCTAAGCTGTTGTTATCGGCCACCTGATGGCGTAAGCGAAAACTTTAGCATGTTTTTACAACAAATTATTAAAAAAGGTACCGTTGAAAAAAAACAAAATTTTATAATTGGAGATTTAAACATGAATTGTTTTCTTTATAATGATAACCTTAAAGTTAAAAATTTTTATGATGAAATTTTTGAAACGGGTTCAGTATCTTTAATAAACAAACCTACAAGAGTAACGACAAATTCAGCAACTCTAATAGATAATATAATAACTTCAGATATTTTCAACAATGATTTAAAAGTAGGTATTTTGCGAACCAATATATCAGATCATTTCCCTATATTCCTAAAATTAGATAATACAAACTCTGAAAAAACTTTAACCGCACAAAGAGTAATTAGAAAACGCATTTATAATGAGGCTAACCTTAATTTATTCAAAAATCAACTTTCATTACTACACTGGAATAACATAAATTTTAATGATAATGCTAACAATATCTATGAGTCTTTTTTCAAAACATTTTTTTCTGTATACGATGCTAACTTCCCAATCATTGAAAATAAAATAACTACTAAGAGCTTAAATACACCCTGGATCACTAAGGGCTTTAAAAAATCGTCCAAAATTAAGCAAAAACTATATATAAATTTTTTGAAAACAAAAACACCTAAAAACGAAAAAATTTACAAGGACTACAAAAACCTATTTGAAAAAATTCGCAAAAATCTAAAAAAAATTATTACTCCCAATTACTCAATACATTTAAAAATGACACAAAACGCACATGGCAAATAATGAATGAAATTATTGGAAAACAAAAATCATGCTCAGGTTTTCTGCCACAAATGGTTAGAGTCGATAACAAAAGTTTATACGAACCAAGAACTATAGCTCAAGAATTTAACAAATTTTTTATCGATATAGGTCCAACACTTTCTAAAAAAATCCCAAACACCAAATCTTTATTTACTGATTTTCTAGTACCCATTGATAATTGCATTGGTTCAGTTGAGTTGTCTTCTGAATTGTTGTTTGAAGAGTTTGAAAGAGCCTTCAAATCTTTAAAAAAAAATAAAGCAGTTGGAGCAGATCAAATAAATGGAAACGTTATTATAGATTGTTTTGAACAGCTAAAAGTTGTTCTTTTTAAAGTTTTTAAAGCTTCTATCCATCAAGGTGTTTTCCCCGAACTGTTAAAAATTGCCAAAATTATTCCTATTTTTAAAGAAGGGGACAAATCAATTATAAGTAATTATCGCCCTATTTCTGTTCTTTCCACCTTTTCAAAAATTTTAGAAAGAATTATATATAACAGAGTATACAAATATTTTCATGTTAATAAATTACTTAACATTAATCAATTCGGTTTTAAAAAGGATAGCTCAACTGAACATGCAATTATCCAATTTGTACGGGAAATCTCAAAATCATTTGAAAAATCACAATATACTCTAGGACTTTTTATTGATCTATCAAAAGCTTTTGATACGGTTGACCACCAAATTCTAATCCATAAACTTAAACACTATGGAATAAAAAATAAAGTTTTAAAATGGTTTGAAAGCTATTTGTCAAATCGTAAACAATTTGTTCCGAGTAATGACGGTTATCACACCAATTGTCTTTCTATAACATGTGGAGTCCCACAAGGCTCAATTCTTGGTCCACTCCTTTTCCTAATTTATATTAATGATTTAAATAAAGCCTCTAAACTAACAAGTATTATGTTTGCAGAAGTTACTAACTTATTTCTTTCTAACAGTGATATCTTTGAACTTTTTAAAACAATGAACAAAGAGCTTATACATGTATCGAGTTGGTTTAAATGTAATAAGTTAACTCTAAATTCTAATAAAACAAAGTGGACCTTATTCCATTCGCTTTCCAAAAAACGATATTTGCCATTAAACTTACCTAAAATTTTTATTGATCAAAATGAAATAAAAAGGGATTCCGTAACAAAATTTTTAGGTGTTTACCTTGATGAAAACATCACTTGAAATCATCATATCGACTACATAAGCACTAAAATTTCAAAAAACATAGGAGTTTTATATAAAGCACGAATCTACCTCAATAAGAAAATTTTAATCAAACTTTATTATTCATTTATACACAGTTATTTAAATTATGCTAATATCGCCTGGGGTAGTACAGAAAAAAGTAAGTTGCAACGTCTTTATCGCCGTCAGAAACATGCTATCCGTTTAATCTGCTTTGCAAATCGCTTTTCTCACGCAAAACATTATTTTATTGAAATGAGAATTTTAAATATATACGAGCTAAATATATATAATGTTTTATGCTTTGTATACATGTGGAAAAATGACTTGTCTCAATCTGTCTTCAAAGATATTTTTACTCTGAAACCCATCAACAAATACAATTTGAGAAATACTGATTTTTTAAATGAACTTTTCTGTCAAACGAACTTTAATCAATTTTGTATTGTCTATCGGGCACCACACCTTTGGAATAAAATTGTTTTGCCCAATTTTGATTTTGAACTACCCATTACTTTTCGTTTTTTTAAAAGTAAATTAAAAACCCTTATTTTTTCATTAGAAGACGTATTATGTTATTATTAATAATATAAATTAATAACTTTGCCTTT